AACACACAACAGAGGGGCACACTCAAACACCTACAACCCACCAATCTTTATACCAAAATAAAAATGTAAAAAAAAGAGTGACTGCGTGAGGCAGACACAATAATAGAGCAAAGATGTAAAAGCAAAAAAAAAATTCATTACTTACTGTGACTGCGATGCCTGGACACAGTCCAATCCACTCCAAGGTTAACAACGGGAAATCATCGTGTACTGAACGTGCCGTGCTCATATCTTTATTCTTGATGTCCGTGCAGCAGTTTGTATATAATGAGAAAAAAGAATCATTCCATAAAATTGAGCACACAAGAAACACAAGGTGTATTGGAAACGCAAAAGAGAAACACACAGCTGCACATAAAACGTGCAATGAAATTATAATGAAACACACAAGGGAAAAGCAAAATGAAAACAAAGCAAAAAGAAAGCCGTGATCACCATGTGAATATGTTCAGGAGGCAAGAACACAATTCCCTGCAGTAGGTGTGTGTGTGTGTCTTTCGTACAGGGCGAGCAGTGGAAATGATGCACACATGATGACAGTACACACACACACAAAGAGAAGGAGGGTTGGTAGTGTGCGTGTTTGTCTGTCTTGAACCTCCTGCCATTCTTCACATTTCAGTCACAGCAATTACAATATTATTGGGGTTGTATCCCATTCCCACAGGTAAAAGCAATAGTTAGTAATATCACGGAACACACACACTCCACCATGAGGACACAGTGAATAGCGGCAAAACAGAGCCCAGATAATAATGCGAACAAACAAAGAGGACAGTCCCCACAGAAAATGAAGGTTTGCCATGTGATGAGTGTCATAGGGAGTCCAATAGATTTGTTCAGCACAATGATGCAAACAAGAGATTTATCATTCTTAAAAAGAAACATTAAAATTCAATAAAAAAAAAAACAGTGCCCTTACAATGCATCCATGTCCACTCAAACAAAGGTTAACTGTGCAACTGCGTCATGTGAACACCGATTAGCACACGAGAGTGCAGCCCAGCACACTCAAGAGAATCAACAATAAGGGACTGTGCACCAATGCAGGACTGTGGCTGCCGTCATTCCCATTCGTGGCCTTTTTTGCTGCCCGTTTCGTCTCTTCTTCCCTGACCTTTTCTGCGGCCCGTGTCACCTGTTCTTTCTCCGCCTCTTCAACCCCTTTGTTTGTTTCCTCTTCACTACCCCCTGACCCTTCTGTTTTCGTTGGCGGTTGCTCCACATCTTTTCTCTTTTTTTCCTCTTCAAGCAGCTCCTCCTGTACCCGACGATGAATTTCTTCTTTTATTTTTGCTTTCGCCTCCTCCAACATTCTAGCAACGTCGCTCCTTCTCTCCTCCTCTCTTCTCATTAACTCTTTATTCCATTCTTCTTTGTTCCCCATTAAGCGCAACGAGTCCAATCCCAAAGACTCCCTGAGGTCTTCCACTGCTCTGGTTGCTTTAACCACTGATTTTGTGACGTCCATAAGTGGTTTGAGTTCATCATGCTCGGATCCGAGTCGTTCTGTGAGGTCACTCAACTTTTGTTTTGTTATACTGCTGTTTTTATCGAGTCTCATTATCTCCGGCTTTTCGTGCGTTTTGTTTTGATGTACTTCCAAAAAACGCCTTCGAGCCTCGCCAAGTTGCTTCGTCAAATTTACCAAGTTGTGAGGTGGTTTCTTACAAGCTTCACTCAATAGCACTATGTCTGTGATTGAAGAAGTCACATTTTCATATTCTTTTAAGTTTTCTTTTATTTTAGCCTCATTGTCATTTATCCACTTACCATATTGCTCCCACTTCTTATCATCTTCTTCTAATTTCTTGATCTCTTCAAGAGAAGCGTTGATTTTCTTCGCAACGGCTGCAGCACGCTCGGAATTATCCTCGCATAATTTTTTTTTTTCCTTAAACGCAGACATACAACCATACACATAGAGAATGTGCTCATATGCGCTGTCTACCGCCACTGTTAAGTTTCGTTCCGCTGAACCAAACACATCTTCTGCATTCGATGAAGAGACTTCCCCGGCATCACTTCCATCCTCCGCATATGCCACACACATACAGCAGTGAAGAAGTACCAACAGGTACACCACACGGCGCAGTTGGACGAACATCGTTGTCATGATTGTCACTGTGGGTTGCTTGGATCTGTGGTAACAAGGAAGAAGAAGGGGAAAAGGAGAAAAGAGATGCATATTTAACACACAATGCAGTGGGTACACAGAAAGAGAGAGAGAGAGAATACACATCACAACAGCAATCAAACACAACCCAATGAGGGGAACAACAATAAACCACTCACACAATAAAACACACCCAGAGTTACACAGATATTGAAACAACACCTTGAATTTAGAAGAAGTGGAAAACAAATGGTATCAAAACAATATTGAATAAACGTCTCTACACACACTCCAATATCTTACTCGGTATTCATACACAAAGTGTGTCTGTATTCTCATTATAATAAAATCATTACCAGGCAGTTTGAACACCAAAATACACCAAAAACACAGTGTACGCCCGGCAACATACAAAAACAATACCACAAATCATCAGCAAAACAACGAGACTGTACAATAATCAACACACTTCCAAACAGAAAAAGAAAGAAACCAATGCATCACCATAATATTTATACCAACACCACAATTGGAATCCAAAACACATTCACTCACAACCATAACAAAAATGACTGCATACATCACCATGACACCATGCCACTCTTTACAAACAGAGGCAACACACAATTACTCCCTCACACACACATATTACCTCTTTATTTTATCCTTATTATTATTATTATTTTATTTCTTTCCCTCAGAATGCCGGTTCGCCTCTTCTTCCACAGCAATGCCAATAAAGAAAAAACTTCCACCCAAACACACACGTCCTTTACTCCATGGTGTGTATTAGGAGGATACGATCAAACATATCCCCTCCCAAAAAGGACACCACACACCACACCACCACGTTTTTTTTTTCTGTTCTTCGTGGCTTTATGGATGTTACCCCAATGGAACGGGCCATCAAGAATAATACATAAATATACATAAATACAATTTGTTTTTATATTATTTTTTTACTACCGTTGGACATGGGGAGTACGCATTGGTAATGAAATTACAATGGATCTCGTAGGTGACAGAACATGGATTTTTTTCGTCTCTCTGAGTTCCCTCAGCGGCCAAATTCAATTTCCGCCACTAGATGGCATAATTGTTACTATCTCTAGGGTCCCTGTCACTCCTTCTTTAGCAGCATTCACACTAAAGTGAAATATATAAAAGAAACTGCTGCTGATGGCACACTGATACGCACCCCAGGATCTTCTTGGATAAAGTTTTGTCCCAGCACGATTCTGCTGTCCCCGGTGCTGTTTGACGTTTGTAGCTTATGAACCCGTAAACTCTCAAGAAGAGAATTTACTGGCCCATGGCTTCCCTCAAAATAATAGGGGATAATGGGCATTGGCCCAAACTTTCGATGGTCAAACGCCACCAAAGGGGAATGCCATTCCTAAGAACGCATGTATTGAAAAGAAAAAAAAAAGGAAGAAAAGAGAAACACGATGAAAAGACGCGAAAACACAAAAAAACAAAAACAAAAGAAAAACCAGAAGGGTGCGTTTGTTATCCTCTCTCTCTCTCTCTCTCTCTCTATTTTTTTTCTTTTTGATGCTTGGACGTCCTCTCTGCTTCTCCGACTTCAGCAAAAGTCTGGAAGAATTAAAAAAAAAAAAAA